TCACTCGCTACCTGCAGGAGGAATGCATCCACCCTAAAGAAACCCCCCTGACATGGTGGAGCAACGACCGGGAGAGATTCCCTTTGCTCGCCAGTCGCACGCAAGTACGTGTGCGTTAGTGCGAGCGCACCATCCGAGAGGGTTTTCAGTGTTGCTGGAAATGTTGCCACCCCTCTCAGATCCTCTCTCAAATCGTATATAGTTATCATGCTGGTTTTCCTTGTAGGTAACAAGGAAGTGACCGAGCTATAAATCACCGTCATTCGTGTGTGTGAAAGTGAAATGATAGTGCGCCCGCCCCCCGGCGCGCGCGCGCCCGGTACATGTAATTTTTTATGCTTGATTTTAAACAACTAAACAAAATGGGGACTTGTTTCTTATTTGTTAGATGCTGCAGCCAAATTTGCATTTAAAAGTTTAACCTCCTGAATTTTGTTGTTTTTAAGTTCAGTCGGACTCCGACTGTCGGAGAAACAAACGTTACTGCGATCTGTGTTGTTACTGCCCTTTGATCTGCATTCAGTAAAGTGTTATAAAAGAAGGCACGGCAATTTTTAACCTTTTTTAAATGTGTAAACATTATGTTTAGATAGAACTGCAATAAAAAAAGGGCTGCAATAATATCGCACACCGCAATATTAAGCCACCCTGAATCACCGCAGGGGGAATTCCTCAACCGCGACAGCCCTAGCCCCACCCATCTTGACTTTGCAGCCAGGAGAGAGCAGAGCACATGTCGGCTAGTAGAAGCTAACTAGTGTTTCCCCGAGAAAAATTTCCAGCCGCGGCAGGTGGGAGTAAATTTGTGGACCGTTTCGCTGCTGTGTGTTGTCAGTGAGAGCGAGGGGTGTTACATTTGCTTAAACTGGGCTTTACTCCTCTGACAAACTTCTACCTCCTGAAACAGGAGTGCCAGAGCCTATTTTACACAGAAAACAATACACAAGATGTTCATTCAGACAACAGCAAATTTTTTGTAAAAATATGTAAATGAGACCTTTAGATAAACCAAACACAAACACCAAAACACAAGAAAGCACTTCAAAACCTCCCAACAGTTAATGTTAAACAGCCTGTACTTATACAGTGCCTTTAAGAATCCTACAACTCCCCAAGGCACTTTACAACACAACAGTTCACACACTGCTGATGAGCTACACTGTAGCTACAGCTGCCCGGGGACATACTGACTGAAGCAAAGGTCCCGAACACATGAAAACCTGTACAACATGTAAACATTTGGTTAAATGACAACAGCAGTCCTGACCATCTCATTCCTTATGCACCCTGAGTTATACCCCAACACAATTTCCATTAAAACATAATTTTGGCTAAACGGCTTTTGAATTCATCGTTTTGTTGTGACTCGAACTTCAGCCAAAAGTTCTATCAAAGCCAAATGATTCTTGCAAAAATGACAAAAACTGGTATTAGAGCAGCTGATATTCGGAAATGTGAAACCTTTTTACAGGTTAACAAATGTTGGCTTGTGGCCTGAAAACACCCTGAGCAGTGATAAATGTTACACAGTAGATTTAGCATGACTTTCTGATAGGAATGCCAATTCCAGTCTGTCTTTATTGCCTCTTTTGAATCAATAGCAGCCTCACATTTAATGATGTCTTCATTTCCCTGCAGCTTGACACGTCAGCGGGTGCTGCAGTTTAATTCAACTCATGTTCTAACAGCGGCCATGTGTTCAATTTTCATTTGGGTGGATTTCTACAATAGGTGAAGAGTGTGTGAGGGTTATGAATGACTAAGTGACATTTGCCATCATTATAATAGCAGCACTTGTAGCCAAGAGGCGATGAAATAATCAGGTTGGTAGCAGTGCGGCGGATCAAACGACAGCTTTATGAGAGCTCAAACACTCCATGGTCACTCATGAGAGAAAGCTTTAAGGTTTCCTCTCAAAAGTCTGGATAAAGTAGCCTCCAGCAGAACGTAATGAATTGCCATAATAAAAATGCAGGAAGCCAATAATTTGCCACTGTGTGCAGGTTATTACACAACCCAATCTTGTTCTTTCAAAGCACACCGCTGTTACACTTGATTTTGTATTTTACTGAAAATTTGAAGTATGCACATGAACTCATACTTGAACTCATGAAAGGAGCCGGGGGGGGTTGGTTCTGAATAATTTTTTGCCAGATTGCCTGAAATGCTCTTCACATACTGATGGCAACCCCTTAAATGTGTCAACAAAAAATAATTTTATTTGCCTCTGAAACGTATAATCCTGGTAAAACCTCATCCAATTATTGTTAATATCCTATTCTTAATGACTGGATCATAACCCAAGTGCCAAACTGTCCTCTGTCTATGTGCACGATTCCTGTGTTCTTGGCTTGGAGCAGCTGAACAGAAAGCAAAGCCAGAGCTGGGCTGCATAGTGTAGAATGTTGCATTCTGTTTGTTGATAGCAAATTTCATTTAAGGAATTATTGTACACGTTCTGTTTAGAATCTGGCTTTGTTCTTTTTGGGAAAAGTGTATGTGATGGACCTGTTGTCTGTGAACGCAGCCTGTTCTCTGTCAATGGGCAGAGATGATCAATGATCGAATTGAAAGACTGAATCAAAATCGAATGGTAAGGTACCTAAAATGGCACACCCCTAACAGCTACGTAGGTGTGTTAAAATGAGACTTATTGCAGAAAAGGCACTAACAGCGGGTCAAAAACATAAAACTGAACCCTGTAGAGCAAGCATCGCATCTTGGGGCAGCAGTAGCTCAGGTGGTAGAGCGGGTTGCCTCATGATCGGAGGGTCATGGGTTCGATTCCAGCTCCCGCCAGGGGTATCCTGCTGTTGTGTCCTTGGGCAAGACACTTCACCCAACTTGCCTGTGTTAGTGGTGGTCAGAGGGGCCGACGGCGCCAAATGGCAGCCTCGCCTCTGTCAGACCTCCCCAGGGCGGCTGTGGCTACAAGTAGCTTACCATCACTAGCAGTGTGTGAATGTGAGAGTGTGTGAAAGCGTCTTTGGGTGTCTAGAAAAGCGCTATATAAGTCCAATGCATTATTATTATTATTATTATTATTATTATCTTCTTTTCTCTCCCTTATCTTTTTCTCAAGGCTCTTGTCCTGTCTGCCTAAAGAGCGCTTCTCTGCATTCCTCCTGAAAACTCATTTTTATTAAATCATGGATTTAGTTAATTGGTCATTTAACACGACTGACAAGATTTTTCAACAATGAGAAAGGAGCAGGGGGTTCCTATTTGTCCACATGGTACGCACCCAGTGGGGTATATATTGGATTCCTGGAAGGAGTGGAATGTTATATGCCTTTCCCAGCTGTCCGTGGAGGACATCAAAGACATATGGATTTTCGGGCTGATAATAACTGGATTTCTTCTGGTTGGAGTGGGAGGATTTCTGACATTTTGGAAAATGGGTAAGACGAGTGCGATTGGAAACCTGTACCCATGGAAAGTCTCAGCCATGTGGAAACTGCTCAGACTGGGACGTCAGTCGAGGTGAATCGCAAGCTAGAGGTTCTAGCTGTGATCCCAGTGTTAGTGGCAAGATGGATGTGATCTTGGAGAACGTTAATGCATGATATAATAATGCTTAAACCCAAAAATTTTATTCACTGAGAGACTGAATGATCAGATAAAAACTGAAAGGCAGAGAGAATATTATCTCTGCCAGACTCGAACAATTCATCTTATCTGAATCTGGAGCCCTGGTAGCCTTGAGCTGCGAGAAGAAAAAACCTCCACAAAGGAATGCAGACAGATGCTCTGAAAACCCGACCTACCACCCCTGCCTTCAGATTGGCGGTCTTAGCCTGACGAGGGGAAAACAGGGTACCAACCGCCCCTGCATACCCATCGGAGTCTCAAGTTGGCAAATGTGCGTGCTTGTATGTTTGAGGTGTTTTTTTTTTTTTTTTGTTTGTTTTTGCATAGCAAAGCTACTCCATGTCGAGAGTAACTCTGAAATGTGTTGTGTGTGTAACATTGGTCAGGGTTGTACTGCGGAGACAAATTTCTATGCTTCAGGATGCTGGGGCACTGACAATAAAGTTGATTCTGATTATTATACTCTGGAGGCACGGCTTAGGGGTAGGGGAGCCTGGAAAAGGGGGGTTGGACCTTTGAATTGTGTAGTTTCAATAAATAGCATTTCTGCTGATCTTAGGCTTTGTCCAAAGGAATAGAAACAGCCCGATAACGGATATCACAATAATTAGTGATTCTCTGAGGTGCTGATAGGTGGACCTTGCTCCTGCTGAACATACACCATTCCCCTCTCTAGTTTCAGACCTCGCACCAACATGGCAAACATTTGCTTTATGCAACATTCCTGAACTGTTTTTATCAACAGTTCTCTCGTTTCAGACATGTTTGGTTAAGCAGGGGCTAAACCTACGATCTAATCTTAAATTGTTTTGTTTACAATTTTTTTTTCTCTTGATCAGATTAGAACCTAAATCTAAAAAAGAAATCTAAAAAAATCTTATGTCTACTGTGCTCAAAAATAGTCTTCTTGGTGGATTATTGCTAATGTGTTCCTACAGATTTCAACTAATGCCAGAAAAAGACCCATCATCATGTGTTTATTTTTATTTTTATTTTTTTGACCGATTAGCATCCAAAGAGCTCTGAGAGCAGAAATGAACATGAAAAATTCCTAATGATAAAAAAGATCCTGTTGAACAGGATGGGTTAGTTTTTATGTTTTTTACTACTCCAAATCATTTCTGGGCCTAGCTTAAAAACTAGTTGGTAGCAAGTATTTGGTCCTTTCATTCAAGTTGATAATGACGAAAAAAAAAAAAACAATGAAATGAGCTTTCTATTCAAAATTTGCAAATTGGGCATTTTAAAATTCCAAGAGGAAGTTGAGGTAACAATCCAGCTGATGTAATCAGAGATTGAAGACTTCCTGTTTCCTTATATTCTCTCCAAACATGAACACCAGCTCCTGAGAGAAATGTGAAAATGAGCTTGACATTTAAGGAAATGTGGACGCAAACAGACAGAATTACCCTGTCCTTCATCCTCCAGCTCTGTGCTAAAGCCTTAGAGCCTTCGATCTTCTCCAAGTGTCTTTTCTTCATGAAGGCCAGCGGAAGCTTCCAGTCATTCATGTCGGCCTCCTCTTCCTCTGCGAGGCCCACGGCCGGTGAATGAAGCAAGTCTGAGTCCATTTTCATCAGGGCCCTACAGGGGGTCAACAACAAGTCTGATGAGTCTCCGGCTGGGCTTTCATCATCACAGATAAAACATATTAAACCAGCTCACACTTGTGTTAGTGTGTGTTTTCACACACTGCACTAAAACGTGTCTTCACATGAGTCCTGAGAGAAGATTTACAATATACAATAAACAAATAGCCACACACTCTGCACAGACAGGACCGGAGTAGGAGCACTAAGGTGGATGGCTTTAATGCTCTTCAGAGGAATTGAAATAACCCTCCTCCAGTAAGTGATCAGCATCTTCCTAGAAATATTAAAATATATAAGAGCACCTTAGATTTCCTTAAAGATGAAGGTAGATCCTGAAAAAATACTCCTAATTTTCCTCCTTCAACTACCCCCTAGTTCTTCCTAAAGCATCTCAGCTAGTTATAAAGGAAGAGAATTAATTTATTTGGTGGATTTTCAAAAGACTGCCTGACATGTGTCACCCAAAAATGGAGAAAAGCTGACTGGGTCTAGTTGAAACTACACACCCAAGACTAATTTAATACCCAATAGAAATGTTTGGGTGTGTTAGTCCAACTCAAATACATCTCAGTCAGACTGAAAGGTTTGCATGAAGATAAAAAACATGTGATTGGTTTTCAATCATTACGTTGACACAAAAACATGGCAGAGGTCTGGTAATGATGTAGTCGTAACTTCCTGCTAACGGATTTCGACCAGACATGCAAATATTTTTGGTTTTCAAGGTTGAAACCAATTTTTATTTTACCAATTGTACCTTTTATTTTTATCCCTTATGTGATTTTACACAGTAAGTTTTACCTCTTGACTCATCTATTTTTTATTTTGTTTCCTTTTATTTGCTGTCCAGCACTTTGGTCAGCTGTCATGCTGCTAACTGTGCTATATAAATACATTTTGCATTGGATTATATTTATTGTTGAATTTACAGGTAATTTTAAAATCAACATTCTTGAAGTAAAAAAAAAATTTTTTTTAAAGCCGCATGGAGAATCTTTTATTGCTTGTGAGAACTGGCACTTAACAATGGTAAGGTAAAGGACCCAGAACATCTTTTGACATTTATTGCTGCTTAGCATTCACAAGCCCCAAAAAGTCTGATGTTTGAGTTTCAGATGAGTCAGTTATCCTTAATATTGACGGATTCCAATCATTGGATGATTTTTAATCCGGTGCATCTCTATCATGCTTCACTATTTGGAAAGACTGATTTTACACTATGGCACTGATCCAAATGTAAAACATCCATCCATTATCTGTACCCACTTATCCACGCAGGGTCGTGGGGGGCTGGTGCCCATCTCCAGTATTAGGGCATACAGACGAGGTACACCCTGGACAGGTTGCAGTCCATCGCAGGGCAACACAGAGACTCAAGACTAACAACCAAGTGCACACACGCACACGTCAGGGCAATTTTTAGAGACCAGTTAACTTGACAATCATCTGTGGGAGCAAGCCGGAGTACCCGGAGAGAACCCACGCGTGCACAGCGAGAACATGCAAACTCCCGGAACCTCCTTGCTGAAAGGCAACAGTGGTAATCACTGCACCACTGTGCTGCCCTCAAATGTAAAACATAACTGCTAAAAATGATGGGAGACCGTCAGTCACTCATTATTTTTCCCCAGAGCTCAGATCTCTAATTAAGTAGGAGCATCTGCAGAGAAAATAAATAAAAGCGGCCAACATCTAAGTAAGAGCTTGTTTTAAGAATCATGACCACTTTTTCCTGAAACAACTAAAACGACACTAACTGCAAGATCTCAGGTTGCGCTGACTTTACTGACTGACTTAAAAAAAATGGGGGGTGATAAAGAATAAAAAATATCATGACTTTTTATTGTGACGTCACTATTCTATAACTCTTTTAAGCTGTTGCTTTTTATTTAACTTTTTGTCAATGGACATAGGAACCGCACCATCCCTCTAAATTAAAACACAGCTCTAAGAGATGAAAATAACTAATTACGTGCTAATGTATGCTAGTATAGTTTTGCAACAGCTTGCAATTAAAGACCAAATCCACTCATTTGATTTCAATACATTTTCAGTGGTCTCTAGTATAAATTCATGCCTTGTGAGCCAACCTCTGTGAAAAAAGCTCTCACTCTTAAGCCTAATTAATACTTGTCCATCAGCCCCAGGAGGGAGAGACGCAGATGCATTGACAGAGACGTTTCAGTCTCCGATTTCTCCGTCATCTGGGGAGAACTGCGAAGCAATTCCCCATCAGGACGACAGAGGGCATAGCGTTTTTCTGCAATACAGTCATGTATCCGGTCCATGGTAATGTATTTACTATTGTGTTTACATTGCTTTAATGTCTTTGAGAGACTTTTTAACACGTACAAATTTGTCCCTTTTTCCCCCACCTCTTCATGCGATCGGCACCTCTAAACTCATGTTTCTCGTCATTTCTGTCCACGAACAAATCGCTTGCTCCATATCTTTGTACTTCTTCAGTCATGGGTGAATAAATGTTCATATATTCAGACTTTTTCCACGAGCCATTCTTCAGTCTGTTCCGTGTCTGCTGTTAAATATCTTTTTTGAGAGGGGAAAGGCGATGCTGTGGACGAATTTAAAGGAAGAGGCGTCCTGACCAATCATGAGCATGCAGTCTCCGTCCATTTCAAAAGATAGTTAAAAAGGTGGGCATGTCTCCGTCAACCTCTGCGAGCCTGTTGGCGAGCCCTTGCGCTGAAACATAATGGCGTTGCATGTCTCCGTACCGACGCAGACGGAGAAGTATAAATGAGGTTTTAGGCAGAGGAGAGAGGAGTAGAACACGGAAGGATTTGGAGTCCTATTTCCTGATATTCGGACATTTAGCTTCTGATCGTGCAACGTGACTCTATCGCTTACTTTGCAACGTTGATGTTTTAGCTCCACAAATGGCACAAGCCTGAAGGAGTTCAGCTGTGTTGTAGAGTTGCTAATGCTAACAATTAGCTTTTAATAACTGAGACATGGACTGTTTCTCAGTACCTAAGTTCTTGTGTACTCGACAAGTACATTCTTGGCAAGTACAGCAGAAAGTCTTTTCCAGAGTTCGAGAGAACGAGGACAGAATTTGAAACAGTACCATACTACATTGTGTCATGGCAACTGATTTTTGCTATTGTTAAAGAGCAAGTCACCCCCAAATCTAATTTTTTTGCTAATAAACTATATAAACGAGTGTCTAATTGTGCTGTAGGCAAGTATTCAATAATTTGGCACTATAGTGCATCTTAGTTAAATTGAAATATTCTGCCTAAAACGGCCAGTGTTGTACCATCTTCAGGTAAAAACTGCACTACATTTTAATTTAAATCTGCCATCGCTATTGGCTAAGAGGTACACTATGATGTTAGCTGGTGCCATATGATGTCACAATGATGTTAAGAGCCTGTGTGTGTATTTGTTGGTGGCTTAACCATCTCAGTCTGCCAGGCAACAGCATTTGTTACATTTTTCCAAACGGGAAGTGGGACTTGCTCTTTAAATTAAATAACACAATACATATTGTTTATATAATATTTGTTCCACTTTTGATCAAAATTGATAAATACCAGCAATTCCTGCTGTTATATAAAAGAAAAAAGCTTATTTTTCATCAAAACAGCTATTTAAGGCAATACTGTTTTTTTAATAATGGGTTAGCTAATTAGCATTTTAAGGTAAAGTCGTAAAGTCTGAAAAAAAACTCAGCCAATCTTACAGGTTACAAACACTTTTTTTACAATAACAGACAATGTTACATTTCTTTATTTGCATTCCTGATATAAAACACTACAGTAATGAGCTTTCGCCTCTGCCATTTGGACAATAACAGTTTGCAACGCAATGCATTATAGGATATTTTGCTGTCCTAAGTCCGCAGAAGGATGCATTGATGCATCCTCGAATCAATGGGTGGTGCAAGCACACATCTGGGAACTTTGAGTAAATGTTGTGTAGGATTGGAACGGTACTTTCACAAGGACATGAGTGAACAAGATCACACGAGTATGCATATTCAGAAACACTCATGCTCTCCTCTCTCCTAAATGCTAAATCAACAACAGTCATCCCCATTTGCAAGACAATGTGAGTGAGCCACGAATGCTCATTTTCAGTTTGATGTAGTTCTGTGTGACTGATCATATTTCTAAAATAAGTAAAAACAAATTTCTCAGTGAACCTGGCTTCTACCTATTAATGATGTAAATCATTAATTAAGCAACACATTAAAGCTCAGAATTAAGCTAACGTATATTAAGCATCCATTTCATTAAAAAAATACACACTGATGCGATCAGGCTCAGATTGGAACACATTTAAAACGGTCCGGATGGAAACAGTTATCTGTGACAGAAGGTCACGGTTGGTTTAAGACCTTAGTGTTGTTCTCGGTGCTAGCTCCAAGCATAAGTGTGTGGATGTGTGTGTTGTTTGAACTTAGTACGCATATGACCTGGTTTTAAATTAATTAAACTACCCTGGTTGATGTCTCAACACAAAGCACTCAGTTAGCTACCCTAGCCGGCTAACTTGGACAGCTGCTCTCCTCCAGAGTGGTTCTGAACGTAGCTATCAGCTGTCAAACTGCTATTAAAAACTTGCCCGTTAGATTGTGAAACCGAACGAGCAGCTAGAAAAGTGATACGGAGCAGATGTGCAGAAATAGCGCTAATGGTGTCGCAGATGCAGACCACCTTGGTGCGGCGGGATTGTCAACCCGGGCTGGGGAAGCTCTCCGTCTCCGGACGATGACAGACACAGTGGCGCAGACAATCCTGGTCAGGAAGGTGTAGGGCAGCGTCCACAGCCGGTACAGGAGGTGAAACCCGTCAAAGTGGACGGGTGTGTGTTTGCAGGGGGCTGTGCGGCTCCTCTCCCCGCGGCTCTTCGCTATGGGAAGGAGCAGGAGACGAGGCCCATCTTCATACGGACACTCTGCCACAGCCACGCCAGCACACGGACACACTCAGCGATGACGGGGGTCCTGCTGCGGTCGTGTACAAACCAGCGACCCTGGGAGCGGATTCGGTGAGAAGGTGTCAACGAAAAACTCAGGCTAAACCGAGAATTTCCACGAAATGCCACTGCTTCAGCACTTCAGCAAGGGCGCAGCCATGTTGGGTTGGACCCAGAATGCACCGAAGCTGTCGTGAAACGTCACCGCTGTTGCTTCCGGTCACGCACCAAAACATAAACAGACTGAATCACGCGATTAACACATATGAAGCAGGGGAATAGAAGAACACATATTATTTTAATTTAACACTTTATACGGGACTAGATACATTACAAAAATGGGCATTTTCTGACTTAAATCAACAACAAAAATTACTCAAAAATTGATAAGACTAAAAATTTTACATAAATAGAAATCAGTAAATCACTGTCATATTTCTCATTATCCATGTAATTAATTAATTGAATGATTACTTTTTTATTCGAAGGACAATCATAAATAATGTTACATATTTAAAAATTTCAACATCACTTCATATTCTGGCTAATGGATAATTTACTGAAACAGTCCCTTGTTGGGTTTTTCAGAAATCTTTCTTATTGTTTTTACAAATATGAATAAAATAGTCTATACTATTCTAAAAATGAAACACAATTTTTTTTAAATTACACCTGAAAGAGAGAATTTTTTTGAAAATCACAAATGAGAATCAATACAAAAAAGCAGACAAACAACAACAGAGAAGAACAGCAGCGTATATGAGAAAATGTGGTCACATGTCCTTCAACAGATTTAGTTTATAGCAGCGTACCTAAAGCGATGACTGGATAATTTAAGAGCAACTGGGGGATTTTTTAAAAGAACATTTTGAATAAATGTAGACCATGTGTCTCCCTAAAACTAAAACTGGAAGAGAGGATCCTGACAACTGAAAGCTCTGCTTCTATTCTACTTTTTTAAACCATCTTGGAACCAAACCAGCAGTCTGCACTGATCTGTTGGGGAAATGTGGAACAATACATGTCTAAGATTATATTTTCACCCTGTTGATGAAACTCTTCAGATAAGAAGTGAAAAAAAAGAAGTCTAGGCTTTTAGGATTGATGTGCTAAGGGCTAGTCGGAACCAAAATGTACTGTGAAATTCTGGGGATTGGTCAACCATCTACTTCAGGTGGGAGTCTTTTTAGACATCTTTAGCTCATGAAACAATACAAAAAGAGTCCCATAAAAATTAGGTTGCTGCTGTTTTAAAAACTGCTGTGACATTTTCTGCAAGGCATTTTTCAATCTATTCCGTGTTTAAAGCAAAATATCGTTTTACTTTTTAACAGGGCAATGGCGGTGCCGTTGCCAAATTTATAGCAGTCCTGACCAGTCACTTCTGACGGATGTTTAAAAATTTGGGCATGTCTCCGTCAGCCTCTGTGAGCCTGTTGAAAAGCCCTTGCACCGACACATAATGGCGTTGCGTGTCTCTGCATCGACGCAGACGAAGAAGTATAATTGATAAATGACTCGCACTTATGTAGCGCCTTTCAGAGTCAAAGGACTCCAAAAAGTGCTTTACACTACAGTGTATCATTCATCCATTTACACATTGATGGTGATGTGCTACAATATAGCCACAACTACCCAGAGGCTCAGTGAGAGGCAAGGCTGCTGAGCACAGGCGCCAGGGGAATGACGGCGACCATCACAAGCAGGCAAGGTGGGTTAGGTGTCTTGCCCAAGGACACAACAGCAGAATTCTCAGTCCGGAGCAGGGTTCAAACCTGCAACCTTCTGATTACTGGACAACCCACTCAACCTCCTGAGCTACTGCTACCTAAATCAGGTTTAACGGGTATTATTAGTTTGTGCGCATTGCACAAATCCTCTAATCCAGCAAACAGTGGCAATGAACCATAAAATTAATGCAAGTCACATAAAAAGGAGAAGAAGAAGCTGACATATGCAGTGCGCTGAACAAACCATTTAACATCAACATTATTTCAATGAGAGACTGGGCAGTTTTGGCTTGGTTTTAGCACCACCAAGTGTCCGTTTAGAAAAACTGAAAGAAAAACTTATCTCCTCTCTATGCGTTCATCTTTTTAACACCTTAATCTAGCAGCTGAAACATTTCCCAGCCTTCTTTAGTGTCTACAGGAGTGATTCATCACTAAATAAACAAACCGATCTAGAACATGCAGGAAACATGTTGGAATCAGACTGCAGCGCCAGGTATGTCAGCTCAATTTTTTTTTCTAAGTCCAGCAGACCGGACCAGCAACTCTAAAATTGCAAGTGGAATATTCTGGCCACACAGGGCGATAAGGGCTGGGTGGCCTTTTATTAAGACTGTAAAGGGTTATTTTAGAACATACTGGCTCAAGATAATGATTTAAAAATATGAAAAAGACATATAGTGTCTCTTTAAGCTGTCAGTTAGCAGAGGAGCAGCCATTGTCTAGGGCGTGAAAGTATTTCCAAGTGATTGAAAGTGACAGAAGTAAGATCAACTGATAATTGTGTTCATATTTAGTCCTGACAAAATGTTATCTAAACACCACATCAAATTTTAAGAAAATCAAACTGCAGCATGGCAGTCATTTTATTTCAAATAAAACGGTATATTTTTCAGCTAATCGACTTTACTGTTGTACATTGTTGTAATATTTATTGATTTTATCTGTTTTTAACACGTTATTTATCCTACTGTTGCTTTATGTACCTTGTCTTTTCTATTTTATAAATTCTTATGGAACTTAAACCACTTTACAAATAAAGTTATCTTGACAAATGCTAAAAATGCACTTTCAAAATCAGAGTTTTGGTAAAATCTGTAAAATATGTGACCATTAATCCAAAAGATTCAGTGTCGAAAACTTACATTTTGTCATTAAATCTTCAACTCTGAGGAGAGGACTTTGACTTCTATTTAGAGAAAATCCTGCTTCATTTTTTGAAAACTGAATTATTTAGCACGTCCTTTGATTTCAGTAACAGGTTGATTTTTGATCACAGTGAATTTGTTTTACTTGTTTAACCAAATTTGGTTTGATGTTTGCAGGTTTGTTTTTCTCAGAACCTGCATGAGTCAAGTGAACAAAGTGTTTTTCCACCAGATCTGTTCCCAGCATCATTTTCTGTTGAGCCTCACACTCATTTTTCTAACAGCAGGAGCCAAAAGGCAATTTTTTTTTGTTTTGTTTTTAAAGAAGACTCATGGAGAGAAAAGCTGTTACATCTGTCCCTCAATCCAAAATATAACACTTCACATCCTCGCTCAGTCGATCAGAACTTTCCCCTAAGCTGGTTAATTGAGGACGCACAATCAACATGTTTACCAGTTTGCTCTTGGTCAATAAAGAAATTTGCTCTAAGGCTGATGGATTTAATTAAGCACATCATGGTCTGTCTCTAGCACAAATGACAGTGCAGCGCTGTGATGACTAACAGCTTTCTTTGGGCTGTCAGCTCATCAGAAAACATGAAAATGTGGCACCAGATAGATGATGCATGAAAACATTCTCTCTCACTGCAGCCGCCAGCGCAGAAATCACTCCAGCAGCCTCTCGGCTTGGTGCTAAAAGAGCCAAAGCAATCTGGTGTGGAAGGAACTCGTAGGTACATATGACTGAATTTGTTCCCCTTCTGGCCTCAGTGTCATCTGCAGGTGGGAAACAATTCAATCTCCTCATTGGGATGGAGGTGGGGACTCTGGGATGGCTGAAAGGGAACAAAGAGAAGGAGGAGTTAGATCTCCTTCCCCATTTCCATCCAGCCCTCCAGTCCTGTAAAGAACTGGATGGGATGGATGGGGGAAGCTAGTGATAAATAAAAATCCTGTTTTCATCCAGTGGTGTCCCCAGATTTTTTTTATGGGGGGCCACTGAAAACTTTGGGGTGGCACACCCTCTGGTAGAGTTCAGCCTGTAGCTGTGCATTAATCTCATTCTTTTTCATTTAAAGAATCAGCTGGCCCACATATGCTTCAAACACATTTATCTCAAATATGAGACATACCGAACAAACATTTCAGGAAAAAGCCCAATTTTCAAACTGTTGCTTCACATTTTATTATTTTATTATTTAAAACAGTTAAACTTGCCAGTTGTTTGTATTAAATAAATGTATGTAATAATAATAATAATAATAATAATAATAATAATACATTTGATTTCAAGCGCCTTTCAAAGCTCTCAAGGTCACTGTACAGGTCAAAATATAACAAGCAAGCAATACAAACAACAAGAAATAAATGCTAAAAGTAAATGTATTGGTTTTAACATTTTTGTCTCGATTAAAGAAGTTGAAATCGTGGTTTGTAATTTTTATGTATGTAATTTATTGGGGGGGGCTAGTTTCCAGGAGTGACCATGGTCCTATGCAAGAAAGAAAAGTGATGAAAGTGGAGTTAAAGCAAGTTCGTGTGATGCTCCTAAACCCCACCCTTTCCGCCTTCCCCAGGATCCACTGATTTCCCTCGTTCCTATTGACTCTCTCTCTCTCTCTCTCTCTCTCTCTCTCTCTCTCTCTCTCTCTCTCTCTCTCTCTCTCTCTCTCTCTCTCTCTCTCTCTTTCTTTGCATTTTTAATCACAATTGTTTATTTTTGCTTATTTTAAACATATTTTTAATCATTTAAAATATATATTTTTTTACATTTTAAATTTTTTGTTTTTGTGAAGCGCCTCGTGATTTTTATCTTGATAGGCGCCATGGAAAAGATGGTTTTCTTTCTTTCTTTCTGACAAAAGAGCCATGACGGAACATCAGCCATCAAAATCTTTATTCAACACAAGAATTACATCGATCTGAAGCTGCATCCTGTTTTTAATATTCTACAATTTTCGTCCAAAAGGTCAGAAACAACAAAACAAACAAACAGAGGCTTAGTCTTAATCACACCTCCCACAAGTATTCTTAAACGGAGTTTACCAGACATCCATACATCTTCTTTGCTGATTAATGCTCGGTGGTGAATTT